CCCCCCCCCCCCACGAGCAGGATAGCGAAGCGCACGTTCGAGGACGATCCGGACCGGGAGGCTGGCATCTTGTGGAACCGTAGCGTGTTGTCTCCGTCCAAGTGCCGGGTAATCGGAAACATGTTCTGCATCCGGTCCTACACCAAGGCAAGCGCCATCCACTTGGGTTATTTTTACGTTTTGTTACGCAAGATCGGGAGCGATGAAGCTGTTGCGTGAGTTTGCCCACGTCGGCGATGATGAGGACATTTCCCTTGCCGCTATGATCATAGTGAAGGCGCCACTCTGTTTTAGGAAACGGGGTTTATTCGAACGTGAGTGGCGTGCTGTTCGAGAGCCGCGGTCTTGTCTAAGACACGTGTTTCTTGACCGCCCTTACTTTTTGCGCGAATATAGCACATCTGCTATTGGTATTGTGATGCTTTTTTCTAAGAGTGCTTTTTTTCCTGTGTTCCTTTTGTTTGCTTTCCTCGAAACCAAGCTTTCTCCTTCTAAAATATATTGATCAGTTTTTTGTGCCCATCACATTGCAAGTATACCGTTTCACGCGAAGGATGACCGTTGTAGGGGTCGAAAGGTCACTCACCAAGATATTTATCCGTGTACTCACCTGGCTGGAGACCGGTAGCCTCAAGACCAAGAAACGCCGAACGTTGATCCTCGCATCACCCGAAACGAACTGTAGCGCTTGCACGCTTGGATCACAAACGGCACTCCGAAAGATAGAAACATGTTTGGTTCGTAGAGAGAGAGCCTGGACTCTCAGATATCCCCCCGTCATCCCTCGTTCTGCTGAAAACAAAACAAGATGGTAGCTACTCTGGGGTATCGATAAGACAGGGAAATCGTCTTAGAGCCACCTTTGGCAATGTAGGAAGAAGCGATCGGGTGATCGGTCCTGTGGGCACAATGCTCCGTCCTCTCGAGGACGCGTGGTCAATGATCTCGCGTGGTCAATGGTCTAACGACTTCGGCATGCACAATTATGAATACCCCCGCCCCCCCCCCC